AATTGAGTCAGCATGCTTTATATACTATTGAATTGATATTTAATAATCGTAGTGGTAGTTACGTGAAATATTGAAACATTTGTAATATACAGTATTTAAAAAAGAAAGAAAAACAGATAATTTCCTAACATTTGGTCTAATGATTGAATTTTCATGTATTACCATTCGATTTTAAATATGCCGAGAATTTATTGTAGACGATGTTTTAAAATACGGAAGCAGGAAGCAGATACAGAACCATACATTCTTCGAATAAACGCTGCCTCCTTTTTTTTTTCTTTTTTTTTTTTTTTTTTTTTTTTAACTGATTTAGAATTTTTTTCACCCTCAAATATAGGCAATCCCGAAAAAATGTCATCCCAATTCTTAAGGAAGGGGAGCAGTCGAAAGTATTTTTCCTCTTCAATGTTAATCTCACTTTTTTCTTATTTCGGCAATATCGTAAGAAATCATATTTTTAAATTTTTAATTTTCGAAAATAAAAAAACAAAAACAAAAAAACGCAATTTTCTTTTTAAAAAAATTTTTCTTCATCGAAATTCAAGTAATTTAGGTAGGTGTAATAATTTGTATACCATAATACTCAAACTTCTTTTCGAAAATTAGTAAGCTATATCATAATAAACAATTACACAGAGAGATTTACCCAGACTGTGATTACTCATTGTTTCATTATTACTATTGGCAACGTATTTGGAAAATAGAGTCAATAAGACAAATGCGTCGTTCTTTTGAAACCGGTTCGCCTTACAAATGTAACCGGTTTCAAGTGAAAGCAGCGGATCAATATTTTAAATAAATATTCGCTCATTTTCCGTAAGTTGATCTTAAACAACGAGATAACATTTTTAAAAAAGTCCGTACATCACCATACTTTGATTGAAAATTAAATCATGTTCATGTTTGTTAGTTTAAATAATGATTATTGAGAAAGAGTATAGAGAATAATTGAATGATTATTGAGAATAATAATTATTGAAGATTTTAAAAAGTTTATTGTAAGCAAGGGGAAAACTTTACCTGAATGACGACTTTTCCACAAATTGACACCCCCACGTAGAAGTAAACTCTCTAAAAATTAATCGTCTTCCTTAGCTGGACTATTTATATATTCCGAAAACATATTTTAAAAATGGCGTCATTATAACCATTCATACTTTCGAGCTCAATGTTTAGACAAAATTTAATATTTAAAAACTTTTCTATAATTATTTCTACATATGAGCGTTTTTCAAAAACTTGATGTCTATTCTCTTATATTAAACCGATATAAGGTAATTTCTAAGTCGCAGAAAAATTATAAATACTTCGAAAATCCTTTGCAAGATATCACAAAATACAAGTACAAAGATAAGTAAGCTAGAGAAGGAAATGCGAAACAACGATTTCGTGACATAAGCTTGGTGAGTCGTGTATTTATTCAGGTTATAGGTAGCAAAATATGTGAAAGCTTATTGAGAAAGAATAAAACTTTCACTTTAGAAGTTTTTATAGTCCTAAAAATTGAAAAGCAGATTCTAGTTTTCTTCGATTCTCATTTTTTGGAAGAACACGTAAGAAAGTTATGATTATCAGTTACATTTTCAGTTATAATAATTATAAGATATCTATAATGAATTTAGATATTAAACTTTCAATTTACTATGTTTTAAAATTAATATAATACGGGAAACAAAAAATGACTTTTTATTCATATCATAAAATTTTTTGAAAAAATTATGTCATTTATTTTGCTAAGCGAAAGTATTAATTGAAGTTACAACTAAAACAAAGAAAAATAACTTTGTGCTCCTAGCATAATATATAAATAACTTTTTTTCGCTTTAAAAGCATTATATGTAATGAAATTTATTTAAAAAAAACTTATGAGATTTTTTCTGTTTTTTATTGTTTTAAAAGAGCGCAATATTTAGTAGGTTAAAAGAAAATTTAAAATAATTCAATGCTCTTTTTTTTAATTCTTTTTTCTTCAATAGGCATAATATTTATTGGGTATACTCTTATAATCGATACTTTACTGATCAATTAAAATTTTAACTTTACGTACTAAGAAAGGAATGTGTAAGATCTTCAGTTTTGTAGGAAAGGAGATCAGGGGTTGCCAACAATTGCCAAACATGTCGCCAAATTGGCGATTTTTTAAAAAAGTTTAATAACTTTTCAAATAATTAAATTAAAATAAGTTAAAGTAAATTAAGGTATCTTAAAAGTTTAGTTTGAATTATTATACTTTCTTAATAATAGGTCTAATCAAAACGCCCAGATAATTCTTCAAGGCAAGATTATATATATAGCACAAAATCATCGCATTGATTCATGTGTAAGGTACTTAAACTATGAACTTTTTTTTTATTTTCCTTGGCAACGAAAAATAGCGTTCAACTCAAATTACTCAAACTTCTCAAATTATTACATAAAAATCTTTTTAAATCAAAACCAATGTTGCGTCAATCTCAGTGAAAACATTAAAAAATATTATTATTTTATGTAACTTATATTATTTTTTTTGGTTACTTTAAGATAACCAATAAATATCTAACATTCATTTAAACTCTTAACGTTTTACAGTTCACACCCTAAGCTTTAATAACATTCTAAGATTTCATAAGATTGCACACTCTAAGATTTCTCTAAGGTTCTGCCTCAACTTGCCATGGGCACTAGAAAGCTTTTTCTCTGAATATATATTTAAAGATCGACCTGCATCTATTTAAATCTATTTAGATTAGTTTCTCTCATTTGGCGTCATTATGACAAATGGAATTTTTGCTTAAATTTTTTTAGATTTATTGCATTTAATAATGAACATATAAAACAGAATAAAAGATTTTGTACAAAAAAATTAATTAGATTTATTTTTAATTTTTGCTTTCTATCCTTTCCGCTAAAGCTCCCATATCGGGACCAAGGAACAGAGAGGTCTTTATAATTTACTTGTAATAAACTTAATGAATTATTTTTTGATAGTTATTGAAGATGACTTACTTCTAAAGATTTTTCGCAATTATAGTGATAATTAATTTTAAAAATTGTGTTCAAAAAAGTTAATACGAGAAAAAGTCACAATTTTTACATTTTGTCTATTTTCATTATTAAATTTGAATACTTAACGCCTTTTCGGTGATGCCCAAACTCGGTCCGGTCAACGCAAAAGCGGCAAGTTCGGGCAAGAGAAAAATCGGCCGTGAAGCCCGAACTCAATATGTAATTTACCATTTCTCCGATAGATGGCAATACTTGTTCTCAAATTTTCCCGCGAAAAGTTCGGCAGTTTCGTGTCATTTTTCCGGATTTTTGCAGTTTTACTATTCAAAGGAATCTGAGGGATATGAAATTAATTCATGACAGTAGATATAAATAATAATATATTTTTGTATTAGTTTATTATATTTATCTTGAAAATTATGTCTAATATGAATAAATTATTCGACGTATTTTGCTACAATTTGAGCAAATATATTATTAATTGTAATCCTTTAACATTTCCCAAAACATTTAATATAGTAGTTATTGAGTACAACATTTTATTTTTTTTTAAAAAATAATCTATTTCTAACAAAATTAAAGAGCAAAAATAATTTTCCATTATTTGCACTGTTTTTTTTTCCTTCAAAAATATTTTACAGACAAGGGATTNACATTTAATATAGTAGTTAATGAGTTTTTTAAAAAATAATCTATTTCTAACAAAATTAAAGAGCAAAAATAATTTTCCATTATTTGCACTGTTTTTTTTTCCTTCAAAAATATTTTACAGACAAGGGATTAATAAATATTTTTCCTCTCCCAAAAACTAATATAAGATTGTCATATTTTTTACTTGGTGATACATTAATAAAATTTTAATTAAGCGATGAAGGGAAGGAATGAAAAAACAAAGAGTAGGGGTTCCGACAGCGTGTGTTTCGGAGCATAACAGGCATTGCCCAACTTTCGATCTCCCATTCAAAATTTAAAACAACGAAAAAGTAATAGGAAAATTTAATTTTAAATGTTAAAAAAAACAGCATTCTTTTCACATTCAGAAAAAATCTATAAGTTATATAACATATTTTAGTACCATTCCCCATTCAAAATTTAAATCCATGAAAAGGTTGTATAAGGGAAATTTAATTTTAAATGTTAAAAAACAGCATTCTATTGAAATTGACCCGGAAAAAATCTGTAAGTTATATAACACATTTTAGTACCATACTCCATTCAAAATTTAAATCCATGAAAAAGTAATGGGAAAATTTAATTTTCAATCTTAAAAAAGAACGGCATGCTATTGACATTGAATCAGAAAAAATCTATAAGTTATATAACACATTTTAGTACCATTTCCCATTCAAAATTTAAATCCATGAAAAGGTCGTATAAGGGAAATTTAATTTTAAATGTTAAAAAACAGCATTCTATTGAAATTGACCCGGAGAAAATCTGTAAGTAATATAACACATTTCAGTACCATACTCCATTCAAAATTTAAATCCATGAAAAAGTAATGGGAAAATTTAATTTTCATTATTAAAAAAAACAGCATTCCATTGACATTGAACCAGAAAAAATCTGTAAGTTATATAATACATTTCAGTACCATTCCCCATTCAAAATTTAAATCCATTAAAAATTAATAGGAAAATTTAATTTTCAATGTTAAAAAAAGCAGCATTCCATTGACATTGACCCCAAAAAAAATCTGTACGTTATATAATACGATTCAGTACCATTTCCCATTCAAAGTTTAAATCCATGAAAAAGTAATAGGAAAATTTAATTTTAAATGATAAAAAAACGGCACTCTATTGACATTAAACCTAAAAAATCTATAAATTATAGAACACATTTTAGTACCGTAATAGCCTTGTCTAGTATCGAAAAACGCATGTCAGACGATAGAATGCAAACTAATAAAATGACATAAAAATCTTCGATTTCCGGCATTCCAAGGTTTAGCATAACACGCACGTGATGACAGTAAAAAAAAGAGTTAAAGAAAACGCGACCTTCTCTTAGATATAAAAGAATTATTTGAAGTTCTAAAATGGTACGCATCATGCTATAAAATTACTTTTATTTCTCCGAAAATGCATGTCATTCTCAAGTTTTGATTTCCCAGTTTATGTCTATTCATTCAGAGGAAAAAATGTTTCGTTTCATGTAGAATCTTAGAAAATCGCCAAGGTAAGATCATTTTGTTTAAAAACTTTAAAGACGTATTAAATCTTAAACCCACATAAAAATAATTATTTCCATGTCTAATAAATCAAGTCAATAAATACAGCAATCAATCAATAAATTAGTTGCTTGTTTGATTTATTAATATTTATATCCGTCGTTGAACTGCCGACCCAATTTTTTTGGGGTTTACGGTTAAACTCCGTAGCCTGGTAATTTTGAACCAAACCAGAAGACAAGAAAACTCCTGGATCAGTACCCACTGAGGTATGGATTTTTTATGGGAACATGGAGGACTTTGCGACTCGACAGATTTAACGTGCATCAATCACCATTTACTACACGGGGCGTCTTTCGCCGGAGGGGATCGAACCCACTAACTTTTGGACATGGGTCCAGTGCCCTACCAACCAGGATATCTCGGCTGATTGTTTGATTTTATTAACTTTTGAACTTAAATGATTCGAAAGTCGTTAATGCCCACATTATCAATGTAAAATGCAGAGAACTCTTGATTCCGCACTTAATGGAGTACAAAAGCCAGTCTGTAGATTAGTTATGTAACGTGCATATTAACGGTAAAGCTCCAAACTAACCGTTAGTATATATTTCCATCAACTGGTATGTATCCCACGTTCATGAAAACAGAAGATCGAATCCATTTAGCCGAAGACCCTCCGTGTAGTAAATAGTGACTGGTGCACGTTAAATCTGCGTTGTCACAAAGTCCTCCATCTTCCTATAACAAATTATACATCTTCTGGTACGGAATTGGAGATTGATCGTTCTCTGGTTCAGTTCAAAATTATGATCTGTGGATTAATGAATGGGGGTGGAGGAAGTCGAATTATTGGCCATAAATGGCGCCACTGATAAGCAAGATCAATCGCACCCACCCTTTGCGTTAACGGCCTACGACAGCGTTTCCCAAAGTGTGGTACGCGTACCCCCAGGGGTATGGGAGTAGTTAAGGGGGTGAGCGTTCTTATACAAAATATCTTGCAACAAACGAAAATTTCAAAAAATTTTAATTTGAAAACAAAGCTAGCCATGAAAATTTACGATTACGTATTTTTCTATTGGCTATTTTTTGCAGAGTTAACAGTTAATAGTTAGTGGTGTCAACAGCCGATTTTTTACTTTTGTGCAATTTTTTTATTAGTGGTACACAGCGTTACGAAAAATTTAGAAAGAGTAGACAAAAGTCATAAGTTTAGAAAACAATGGTCTATGACAACAACTAGTATGTATCAAAGTTTGAGCACATCATAAGAAGTCCGATCGTTAGATTTCTGATGTTTATTTTAAAACCATTCGAAATTATTCAATATAAAAAGTGTTTTGTAATTAGTGCTCTTGCTATAAATTTTTAAAATCCTTGTCAGAAATAATACACAAAATGCAAATTTTTTAGAAATATTAAATTATTAAATCCAGGAAAATGCATAAAGCCATCGTAATCGAACGAATCGTAACTTTGGAGGGTATAAATAAAAATACTCAAATTAGTTTCATTGCCTGAGTCTATTGTGATAGTATTCCTAATAAACTATTTCCATTCCTCTGTTTCCTTCTGCAATCATACAGATTTTCATGGTTTCCGTCTCTTTGATTCGTGATATTTCGATTTAATTTTCCTTTTTTTTCCTTAGGTTAATATTAATTTTCTATTCTTGTACTTCATTTTTGAAATAAATTTCTAAAATACGTAACTAAGGTGGTCATTAAAAAGCACCCTTAATGTATCAAAATTCATGGTCGCCACTCAAATTTTAAGAGACTTATTAAAAGGAAAAGTCATTAAAAACTTCTTATAATCACCTTTTAAAAGTGAGAAAAAGTAGTTTTCGATATTAAAAGTAGTTTCTTTTTTTTTTTTTTCCACCTTTCACGAATTTACGTTTTTCTACTGATGAATAAAAATAGTATGATACTTACTTATTCATTTTTATTTGAGATTTTAAATGCAAATTTTTTTATTTTTTTCAGATTATGGTATCAAATATTTTATATGCAATCCCACTGCTCCTTGGATTATTATTTGTATTCATTGTAGGTCTTTGCTCATTCAAATTAAGTGAACAAAATAAACTGAGAAAGATAAGAAGACAGGAACTAAGCTATCGTACTTTTATAAGTACTGATCTATAAGTAATTTCTGGTTTGAAAAATCAACGTAAATATTGTGCTCAATTCTTTAACGATTTTTTCTTGTGATGGATGAACTCACTCTTGATCTTTATGAAACACGCCTACCTTGATCTTTATTTTGCAACAGTAACAGATAGCGCCTAAAGTTTCAACAATTCCGATTACCGTGAACATTGTATCCAGATCTTCAACGATTTTTTTCTTGTGATTGATGAACTCACTCTGGACCTTTATGAAACACACCTTCCTTGATCTTTATTTTGCAACATAGCGTCTAAAGTTTCAACAATTCCGATCACCGTGAGCATTGTATCCAGATCTTCATCGATTTTTTCTTGTGAACTCACTTTTGATCTGTATGAAAGACGCCTACCTTGATCTTTATTTTGCAACAGTAACAGATAGCGCCTAAAGTTTCAACAATTCCGATCACCGTGAACATTGTATCCAGATCTTCAACGATTTTTTTCTTGTGATTGATGAACTCACTCTGGACCTTTATGAAACACACCTTCCTTGATCTTTATTTTGCAACATAGCGTCTAAAGTTTCAACAATTACGATCACCGTGAGCATTGTATCCAGATATTCATCGATTTTTTCTTGTGAACTCACTTTTGATCTGTATGAAGCACGACTACCTTGATCTATATTTTGCAACAGTAACAGATAGCGCCTAAAGTTTCAACGTTTCTGATCATCGGGAACATAGTGTCCAAATCTTTAATGATTTTTTCTTCTTGTGACTGATGAACTTACTCTTGATCTTTATGAAACACGCCTACCTTGATCTATATTTTGCAACAGTAAGAGATAGACCTTAAAGTTTCAATATTTCCGATAACCATGGATATCGTGCCCAGATCATCTACCTTTATTTTTCTTGACAGATGATTTCACTAATGATCTTCATGGAACACGAGCAATGGTTCGTGGTATGTATTTTAAACCTTAATTAAAGTAAATACTCATATGGCTAATATATAATTAAAGGGTGTAACAATTATCAATAATTTAGATGCATGTAAGCAAATAAAGAATTTAGGGGTGGAAATAGTTTAATGAACTTTTAATTAGAAGGGATAAAATAAGCTTTAAAGCACTCAAAGCTTAAAACTTACATTGAAAAGCACATTTTTCTTAGTGTTTGAAACTGAGAAAGAAAGTATGATCAAAGCTACCAGGTTATTGTAAAATTTACCATGAATACCTAGCTGTGCAGGAACACTAAAATGCTCGGTAACGTTTACCGGAGGGCATTGATAATAATTTTGAAAAAATTACCAATGAAATATGGTTTTATAATACATAAATTCTTTTTGTATTTTCTATTATCTGTGGCGTAATAAGAAAAAAATTTTGAAAACCAGAGCTACTGGTAAATCTTTCTCATATAAACGAAAAAATTACGGTATAAATATATGGTTTAAATTACTGTATATTTTGATTTTTATAACCTTAAGTTTTTTTTTTTCAGTGACTTTATTATCATATAGAAAAGTAATTTTAGTAGAGTTCATTTCTTCGTGAAACAATTTTATTCACTAAAACTGGTTTATGAGGACAATTTAAAGATGTAACTTCAACGAAAATTGGTTTAACGTCGAAAAATAATATCAGTATCTTGAACCACATTATGGTGGAATTTGTTAATAAGGTGTTAGTCAATTAGTTAATCATAGTATCATGGAATCAAGTTTAACAAAGATGATATGTTTTAACTTTTCATCGTATTAAGGTTGCAACAAGCTTTTACTATACAGTGCAATCCGCTCCGAAACTTCTAACTCTGTATTGCTGGTGGAAATGAATTCTATACATTGGTTTAAAGTTTAACCATAACATCAGTTGCTTAAACCATAATACTGTCAAATATGTTAATTAATCAGATATACGTTCCAATTAATTATAGTATCATGGAGATGAGCTCAAGATACAGGATAATATGTTTTAGCTTTTCATCATATTGAGGTTGCAGAAAGCTTTTACGATATTATAGTGCAATACGCTCCAAAACTTCTAACTCTGCATTGCTGCTAGTAGAATCGAATTCTTTACATTGGTTTAGCGTTTAACCATAACATTAGTTGCTTAAACCATAATACTGTTAAATATGTTTAATTAATCAGATATACGTTCCAATTAATTATAGCATCATGGAGATGAGCTCAAGATACAGGATAATATGTTTTAGCTTTTCATCATATTGAGGTTGCAGAAAGCTTTTTCGATATTGTAGTGCAATACGCTCCAAAACTTCTAACTCTGCATTGCTGTTTAAATAGAATTCTAAGCATAGTTTATCTAATTAAACCCTAATTTTGAGAGTTTTTTTAGTAAGTGTTTTGATATAGCTTCAGTAGTATCCATTTCAAAATGAAAATCCTTCTACACTGTAAAAAAAACTAAGGCTGTTGGTACATTTTTTTACCGTAAAATCCATCTTTATTATAAACTTTTACGGAGCAAAAAGCTCGTTGCATTTTAATTTTCACAGAATTATCGGCTGTGAAATCCGAGAATCACTTCAATTAAAAAAATGTTACTGTAAGAATTATGGTATAATATTTTACAGTAAAAATGTATTTGACAGTAAAATGGTTTTGACAGTAAAATTGATTTTACAGTAAAATTAATTTTACAGTAAAATTGATTTTACAGTAAAATAGATTTTACAGTAAAATTGATTTTACAGGAAAATTGATTTTACAGTAAAATTAATTTTTCCGATGATTCTCTCGAGGATCCAATAATATTCCTCGTAGTTTGATCTGGAATTTTCACAGTGTACTTAGAAATTAAAGAATGCTATCTATTCACAACAAAAAACAAATGGATAACATAGAAAACAAATAAAAAAACAATATAAACCGTTAGTGTTTTAGATTTTAATAATAACTAATATTTCTCCAAAAATCAATTTAAGTTAAAACAGTATACATAAAAACACCGTCCTTTGAGTATTTTTTTCTTCAAGGAAACATCTATAAAATGACACTGGCTACCCTTTTCTCCAAGCTATCGAAAATCACTTCCACTCTATAAATTAATTTCGACTATTAAAACTCTTTTAAACTATTTAAATTCATTTCGTTTATTTAAACTAATTTCAACTATTAAAATTAATTGTAACTATTTAAATTCTTTTCAATTATTTAAATTAATTTCAGCTATTTAAATTCATTGTTCACATTTAAATTCAAGCTATTTAAATTAATTTTAGCTATTTCAATTAATTCCAGCTATTAAAATGTATTTCAGCTCCTTAAATTAGTTTCAGTTCTTCAAATCAATTTTAGTTATTACAATTTATTTCAACTATTCAAATTCATTTCAATTATTTAAAATAATTTCAGCTATTTAAATTCATTTGAAATATTTAAATTAATTTCAGCGCTATTTAAATTCATTTCAACTATTTAAATTGACTTAGGTCATTTAAAATAATCTCAGTTATTTAAATTCATTTCAATTATTTAAAATAATTTCAGCTATTTAAATTAATTTAATCCATTTAAATTAATTTAAGTCATTTAAATTAATTCCAGATATTAAAATGTATTTCAGCTGTTTTAAATTAATTTCAGTTATTTAAATTAATTTGAGTTATTAAAACTCATTTCAATTATTCAAATTAATTTCAGTTATTTGAATTCATTTAGGTTATTCAAATTAAGTTCAGCTATTTCAATTAATTCGAGCTATTAAAATACATTTCAATTTTTTAGTTTAATTTCAGTTATTTAAATTAATTTTAGTTATTTAAATTCGCTTCAGTTATTTAAATTCATTTCAGTTATTTATATTCCTTTCTTCTATTTAAATTAATTTCAGCTATTAAAATTAATTTTAACTCTTTAAATTAATTTCAGCTATTTAAATTCATTGTTAATACTTAAATTCAAGCTATTTCAATTAATTTCAGCTACTTCAATTAATTCCAGCTATTAAAATGTATTTCAGCTTTTTTAAGTTAATTTCAGTTCTTCAAATCAATTTCAGTTATTGAAATTAATTTCAATTATTTAAACTAATTTCAGTCATTTAAATTTATTGCAACTATTCAAATTCATTTCAACTATTTAAATTGATTTCAGTTATTTAAATTAATTTCTGCTATTTAAATTCATTTTAACTAATTAAATTGATTTAAGTTATTTATATTAATTTTAGCTATTTAAATTTACTTCAATTATTTAAAATAATTTCAGCTACTTAAAATAATTTCAGGTATTTAAGTTAATTTCAGCTATTTCAATTAATTCTGGCTATTTCAATTAGTTCCAGCTATTAAAATGTATTTCAGATTTCTTGAATTATTTTAATTATTTAAATTAATTTCAGTTATTTAAATTCATTTCTTTTATTTAAATTAATGTCAGCTATTAAAATTTATTTTTACTCTTTAAATTCATTTCAACTATTTAAATTCATTGTTAATATTTAAATTCAAGCTATTTAAATTAATTTAATCTATTTCAATTAATTCCAGCTAGTCAAATGTATTTCAGCTTTTTTAAATTAATTTCAGTAATTTAAATTCATTTCAATTATTTAAAATAATTTCAGCTATTTAAATTCATTTAAGCTATTTAAATTAACTTCAGCTATTTAAATTCATTTCAATTATTTAAAATAATTTCAGCTATTTAAATTTATTTAAGCTCTTAAAATGTATTTCAGCTTTTTTAAATTAATTTCAGTTCTTCAAATCAATTTCAGTCATTAAATTTATTTCAACTATTTAAGTTCATTTCAACTATTTAAATTCATTTCAGCTATTTAAATTCATTTCAGTTATTGAAATTCATTTCAATTATTCAAATTAATGTCAGTTATTTAAATTAATTTCAATTATTTAAATTCATTTCCACTATTTAAATTGATTTCAGTTATTTAAATTAATTTCATCTATTTTAATTCATTTTAACTATTTTCGATTACTTAAATTCATTTAATTTTTTTCAGTGAAAAAAAAAAGTTGCGTGCTGTAAAATATTACGGCTCCCCAACAAATTAAAAAGAATTTATAATTGCTCCAAATGAAACAAATATCTACGTCAACTGATAAGTTCGGTTAAGTAATAAGAGTGCTATGAACGTATTATTTTAATATTAAATTGATTTCACCAACGTTATCTTTTGATATGCTATCTTTCTCTCGTATCTGACTGATTACAATTTTCACTAAAGAACAGTAATGAAATTCACTGCGAAGAATATTAAAAAAGAAAGGGGAAATAGTTAGATGTTTTATCATTCTGATTCATTAGTCATGAGCTTTTGACAGAGTAATCAAATTTTAGAGTTGTAAAGTTCAGCTATAATGCAAGGTAAGATTTGTATATTTGCTCATATGAAATCATTGCATAGTTTAATTGATAAGAAAAGAAGTATCACTTTCTTTTTCATTATATTTTATAACCGTTGATGAACAGCCAACCCAATTTTTTGGATTTACTACTACTACTGCTCATTTCCATAGCCATGAAATTTTGAACCCAATCCAGAAGACAAGGGAACTCCTGGATTATGTATTGGGAGAAATTTGTCTTCATGGAGGACTTTTTGATGGAATTAACTGGCATTTGCGTTACATGGAGAAGAAAACCACGAGATCCTCCCACCGTTAGCCATTTTGCAAGGGGATTCTTATCCATTATCCTTCTACCACTGAAGGCATTTTATGTCAGCAGTGTGGTCGGCGCGAGACGTACGCGGAATTCGTACCAAACAGCCATCTCTGGGATTCGAACCCGGTTCACCTCATTGGAAAGCGAACGCTCTATCCCTTGAGCCATCATGGCTCTATCACTTTCTCTTGCATAATTTAGAACTTTTATCAAAAATTTTAAAAATTTTAAAATAATTATAGATTTTGAATAATTAAAAATAATGAGAAATGAGGTATGTTTGCTGCAAAATACACATTCCTAGATATTAAATGCTTATTCTTGACGATTCAGTTATCCTTGATTTCGTATTTTTTTACTATCTTTTCGTCATGAAGTTACGTGATTATGAATAAATTAGACATAGTTGGAAGTGGGCCATACATATTATACTTCATGGAGAAAAAAACAATTCTGGTAAATACTTCCGATCTGTAGGGTTATGACATTAACAATAAAAAAAATTGGTTAATGAAACCAATATGAACGGTATATAAACCATTAATTTGGTAATTTTTTCGTTCAAATGGTAAAGATGATGAAATTCTAATAAAATTACCTTACAGCATGGTAATGACATTCTGGTAAAAAATAAACCATAATTCTGGGAATAAAAAACAAAATATAAGTTACTTAAACCATTCATTCAGTAATATTATGAATATGAATATAACTATAATTATAATTATATTCATTAATTATTAATGAATATAAATATTAATGAATATGAACGAAAAGAAATTCGTTTTAGCTTCTTTGTATGGATTTTATATTTTAATACTAATATATTTCCGTTAGTCTAACAATTTTTTTGTAACTATTAGACTGTTTTTATAGATAAAAAAAATACCAAAATGTAGTTTTGCTTATAATTAGAGCATCAAAAAAAATATGTAAGAGAGACACAGGTGTCCCGTTTGCGTCTAAGGCCTAAATGTTTTGTTTTAGATTCAAATAAACAACCAATTGGTCTTTTTTTCCACTCTAGCCATAAAAACTTATAGCATACAACTGCACACAACAATACAACTGCACACAACAATACAACTGCACACAACAATACAACTGCACACAACTATACAACTGCACACAACAGTACAACTGCACACAATAATACAACTGCACACAACTATAAAACTGCAAACAGCAATACAACTGCACACAACTATACAACTGTACACAACAAATGCAATGTCGTCATAGATTAACAAAACTTTAAAAAAAAAACTTTTATGAGGGTGTTTTTTAAACATATCAACAACAACATAACTAATTACACTGTAGGTTTACACTTCTATGTAATATAGGAACAACAAACTTTTAAGTATACAGAGAGACAATATTCTAAATATTTTTTGAAAAAAAGTAAATGACTATTACCTTTTTTGTTGTTGAAATGAAAGTAAATTTATAGTGCCAGCGTAGTAAAAAATACATAAAATATTTCCTATTATTTTACTTTATTGAAAAGAGAAATAATAAATTCAACTTTTATTCGCATTTCGTAACTAAGACATGCAAGCTTCAGCTGTTGGTTAAATAAATAATGTAAACCATACACGTTTGTAGAACATTTGTAAGGAAAACATACATAGAATGTTTCTTAATAAAAAGTGAAATAGCAAGTTCATTCTATATTCATCTGTATTATTATGTATATTATACATGTTTTATATATTTAAAAGAAAACTTGCTTCTACGACGGGCATAAAAAATACAGTAAGACCTTGATTATTCGAAGTAGACACGGATCCATTTCGGATAATAGAAATATTCAAATTATAAATGTAACATAGTTTTAAATCTATTTTCACCAGTATGTTTTTGAAATAAAAATTCAAGAAAGCAGAAAAAGTTGAAAATAAAACACTTCAGTGGTCAAATTCTGTTATGAATACACACTCAGAAATAAAACTCTCAATTTTGACGTTTTAGACATCTTAGAGAAGTACTTCCTTAATTTTGAAAATCATTTCGTCTTTAATTCTCTTGATTTGTGATAAAACAGGAACTCTCAAGAAAATGACGAAAATGTTTCCTCAACCCGAAACCTCATCGTAGTGCATTGTGTGAGATAGTTAACTAAAATGATGGAGCCAGAATAAGGACTAGACAATCAGAAATAAAGTGACAACATAAGCTGTTCGGCCGGTATGGTGGTCAAGGAGTTGGCCTCATACCATGAAGATCCGGGGCTCGAATCCCAGAGATGCCAACTGCTCCTGATTTGACATAATATTTTAAAAAACTGTAAACAACTACAAACAAAACTTTTCAGCTTTTCAGTTAATTTTGTCACCTAATAAATATGATGCACACGTTCAAGTAATTATTAGAAAGAAAAAAAAGGGAAAAAAAATTTTATATATATA